GCGAGTTCTGCCTTAAGTACACAAAGAGTCGTTCTGTTCTAGACAGACATCAAAACAAGTGCATTTGGAAGCAACCGCCGGGCACGGAAATTTTCAGGCAAGGGAACATATCAGTGTTTGAGGTGGATGGCAACGTAAACAAGATATACTGTCAAAACTTGTGTCTGCTGGCCAAGTTCTTTCTCGACCACAAAACCCTGTACTACGACGTGGAACCTTTTCTATTCTATATTCTGACTAAAAACGATCAAAGCGGATGCCATCTGGTTGGCTACTTTTCAAAGGAAAAGCACTGCACTCAAAAGTACAATGTGTCCTGCATTTTGACGATGCCGCAGTATCAGAGGCAAGGATACGGCCGGTTTCTGATCGACTTCAGTTATCTGTTGAGCCGCGAGGAGGGACAGTTAGGAACGCCGGAGAAGCCGCTATCGGATCTGGGACGACTTTCGTACTTTTCCTACTGGAAATCCGTTGTGTTGGAGTACTTGTACAAGTATCGCAACAACACAAAGATAACCTTTAAGGATATAGCCATTAAAACGGGTCTGGCTATTTCCGACATTGCTCTCGCCTTCGAATTATTGAACTTTATTAAGCTAAGGAAGAACGATGGTGACATACGGTATCAGATCAATGTGAAAATCGATTGGAAGAAAGTTGTGGCCCACCACAACAAAATGGCGAGCAGTAAAACTCGAATAATCATAGAAGCCGACTGCTTGAGATGGAGTCCCCTTCTGTCGGTGTCGAAATTACCAAACATAATCAAGCCAATTTCCAATCGTGAATATTTAAACAACCAAATTGAGAAAAAATCAGATTTTAAGGAGGCTAATGAAGACATAAAGACGAGCGTAAAGCAGAGTGTACCCTCCACCCCAAAGTTAAGTCAGGAATGTCCCGAACTACCTGTTAAAAACCGGGGGCCAAGCTCCGAAAAATTTGTTGACGATAGAGAAAACCAGCGAAAACGTGCATGCCCAGAAGAGTTCTTAAAATCCGCTGTAAATGATGCAAAAAAATGCAAGGTGACGGCAGCACTGCCGCCCATTGAAGATCAGTCCTTTGGTGAGCTCTCCGACTCTTCAGATTGTAAATCTTCTAAAGAACTTTCAGAGCAGTTGACCAAAAGGGCCCAACGACTGGCCAAACGCAATGACCTTATACCGCACACCAATAAAAGGAAGCATTTCGACCGCACGCTTGAGAGTAATGTCAATTTAAGCGAACAGAATCTGCCGGTTCAAAGTCAATCGGAGATTTTAGGAACCGAAAGTGGTCCCAAATTGGAAGAAACTGCAGTCAAGGAAATGTGCAAGAGTGTTGTGGAAAGGGAGCATGTCGACAAACCTGTTAACATTGTACCCAAACTTCGGGGCAAACAGTCGAATGGCAAACGCTCCGAAGAGTCGCAGTTCAATGGGAATACCCCATCAGAGCATGCTGAAGTTTCGTCGATTAGTCCAGCCAAGGAAACCACTAAAGAGTTAGTTAAGGTGGCGAAAACGGAGAGCCCAGGGAAAACCCAAGAGGCGTCAATCAACGAGGGCGAAGCTAACAGTGTAAGCGATCAAGTGCTCGATGCAGTGGCCAAGAAAACCAAGAAGACGTTATTCTCCGAAGTAACGTCCTACAACACTGAAGATGTGAAATATAATGCGCTGGATAAGCCAGTGGTAAAACACCCTGATCCGAAAGAAAGTCCCAAGGAGGTAAAACCTTTGGAAGCCCCTGAGCAGAAGCCCAAGCCTAAAACTCCCGAAAAAACGGAACCTGCAACTGTAGCTGCAGAGCCCGTTCCAGAGCAGGTAAATGTTCCAGTAAATACGGAAAAGATTGCAAGTTCTATGGACCAAAACAAACTGGAGTTGGATGTCAACTACTTGAAGCTATCACCAGACTCAGCGCCTATTCCTCCAGCAACGCCCGAGCAGAAACCTCTGCCCGAGGCTCCAGCTCCATCTCCATGCGATCAGAAAGAAAATGCTAAGGAAACCATTATCGTTAAGTCTAATGAAGTTTCACAGAGGTCACCAGAAATGGATAGGATCAAAAAAGTCGAGAATCCTGTGTCCAATCCACCATCAAACCGTGCTGAGGTCCCTTCCCTTTCGGACCAACCAGTTCCTCAGCCAGTGAAGCCTGCACCGGAGAAAGCCGAGCAACCAATGGCCAAGGAGAATGCCGACATTAAAGAAAAGGCAATTAAGAAACCAGTGCCGGAAGTCCCAGTTGTGAAACCTGAGGTCAACAGCAGTGAAAAGAAATACGATCCCAGCAAGGTGAAAATGGTTTCCGAAAAGGAAGTCATAAAATCGGACCAACAACTAGTGCAGGTCAAGGAGGAGGAGAAGTCCAATGCGAGGGCGCCCTCGGCACCTATTCCCATCCGGGACAAGATCCAACTAAAGGGCAACGAGCATGCCCAGTTGCAGAACTCCATTCCCTCTCAGTTCCCGCTAAATCAGATGCCGAACTATCACACCTCGCAGTACTGGCAATGGGATTACTACGGATACAATCTCTCGCACTTGGACACCTCGCAAAAGGGACAGAAGCAGTTTCACAAGGACCTAGCCACGACCATGGCCTACACGCACAACTTTACGCAAAACCTCTATCAGTCCGCCAACCTGGCCATGCAACACGCACACCACCAGATGCATCAGACCAAGGAAAAGCACAAGGTGGAACGCAAAAACAATGGCAAGAAGGAGGAGCAGCCTAAGGTGGTGTCCAGCGTCAATGTGGTCAGCACTGCCCGCGAGGATGCGCATGTCCAGCATTGCAACGAGTATGCTGCCAACAACCAGGCGGCCATTTACAACCAGAAATGCACTCAGCAGAAGCAGGCGCAGCAAATGAAGTCCCTGGCCAATGGACAGAACCCAGGGCCCCGGCAAAGCAACCCCAACCCGGCTGAATCGACTGTTCTGATGCCCAATTCAGTGAATTCGCAGACTGGAGCTGTACCCGCCAAGCAAAAAGTCGAGCACGGCGTCAACGCGACTTCGGTCATTTCGCGCGAGGGAAAGCTCAATAAGATTGGTCATCCTAACATTCACGCCTCCGTCCAGCATGCTAATCTTCAAGTGAGCGGCGGCCAATCCGACGTCAATCCAAACATGGTTTACAACACGGAGTCCTCGGCGAATTCGGCCATGCAGCACTACGATTGCGGAATAAGTGCGCAAATAAATATTGATTCACCGGCCAATATTGGCACCGCCATCGCCCATGGCTCACAGGAAATCGCAGCCACGTCCAATGTACACATGCATCAGCCGCACAGGCAGTTCTCCGACTGCTCCATGCAGAACCAACCCGTCACCACGCCCATGCACATGTCCATCCAGAACTCCCACATGCAGCAGCAGAACAACCTGAATATGAATCTGGCGCCAGAGGGTTCACCAAACATCAATCTGTTAAGCAATCCGCAGCACCAGCACCAGAGCAGGAAATTGAATACCCAGGTAATATATACTATATGCTTTTTTAAAAATGTTTTTTATACTAATTCTATATGTTTTTATATTGCAGGCGGACATCGCAGCTAGTTCACCGACACCTTCTCATAGAGCAACCACGCCCAAACAAATACGCAGCGGAAATACCCAGCAGCGTGACACTAAAAACGCGGCGCCAGCCACAACAACATCAAATACTCATCATCAGATTCCCCAGGGCGGAGCTACGGCTAATATTTCCAAGTCGCACCACGACTCCTTGCACAACCTGCAGTTCTCGCAGCATGGTCATCAGCAGAATATGCAGCCCATCGATTACGTGCCCATTCCGCAGATCAGTCAGAACTTCTCTGCGAATCCCTCGAACTACGACATTGTTGGCATGCCAGCGGTGATTCAGCAGCGGATGTCGCTCAATAGTTCCGTGCACTCGCTCGCCAACAGCCATCAGCGCATCGAGCAGCCGTCTTCGGCGTGTGCCGTCAACAATTTCTACTTGCAAAACAATATGCCGGCTGCCGAAAACGCGCCGCGAGTGCCAGTCTCCAGTTCCCTGGGAGGTCCACCGTCGGCGGGCAACAATGACCAGCGCCAGGCGGGTCAGGAATCGATAGCCGCGGCCAATAGCAGTGGAGCAACCGCTTCGCTGGCAGGCAATCTGTGCAGCCTGTCCAAACTGCAGCAGCTTACCAACTGCTTGGAGAGCCAGCCGTGCAACACGTCGCCGGGAGCCCAGGTGAATCTGGCCCCCTCGCCGCACCATCCCATTCCGCCGAACTCAATGACCCCTCCGCCTCACCTGCTGATGCAGAACAGGAACATCTCCACGCCGCCTAACATGCTGCAGACGCAGGTGACGCCGTTGCAGTACAAGTACTATCCGGGCAACATGAACATTGCGCCCATTACGTCGGCGCAGAACACGAGCCGGAACACGCGCAACACACCCTCGGCCCCGGTGCAGCACACCTCGACGCCCATGGGCAGCGGCAACAACCGGACCGCCAATGTCCACATCAGTCCGAACTTGATGGCTCCCTACGGGGCCATCAACAGCTACCGGATGTCGCCGCAGCAGTCCCCGCCCACTGGAAGCTACAGCTCGGGGAGCGAATACCCCAACTCGCAGATTCCGATGCAGATGATGAATATGCAATCTCAGTACCAGGATGCCTGCGTGCTGCAGCGAGGCACTCCATCCAATCCGATGTATCCCACGTATTCCCCCTACTTACCTCTCAACGGTTCTATTCGCAGATAATAGATGCGCACATTTTATATGTTATTGTATTGAGTATGATTGTATATAAATGTGTGCTGTAAATAAATAAATATTACGTCAATTTAACAATTCAATCCGCTGGCTTCTTCTGTTGGTTTAATACTTTTTCTTTATTGCTTAGATCTAACATTGTTTAATCAAAGCTTGTTTATTATTTCGAATGTGCTATTATCTAGACTAATGTCAATGTTTTTTTTAGCTTCCTTTCTTGGGGTATTGCTACCCTTAGCCGAAAGAGAGACCAATTTTCGAATGTTATTCCGTATGAGTTTTTCTATTCATGGGCATCTAAATTAAATACAATTGGGTAGAACGATTGCTTAAACAGTATGTTACGAGCTATGAATATTTATTTAGATTTCTTTTGTATTTTTCAGAATAAAAACTAATAACTTATCGTAATTATGCGTTTAAAAAGAATTTACTATGATAAGATAATAAATAAATTAGAGGAAAATAGAGGTAAGGAATAAAGGCCGAGCTCTGTTGGTCCAGTCAAGGAAACACCTGAACGACAAAGTATATAATTACTGCATGCAAAATATTTTGATTTGCAAACCACAACAACATTATCATGGGTAAATTGAAATTTAATAAGTATAGGAAGCATTGTGTGCGGTTTATTGATCACTTATATGATCGTATTAATTGTCTAATATAAAGATAATTATTTGTTTAAACAGTTTACTTTACGCTCTTTGAGTACATTAAAAAATGTAAAAAGAAACAATCATGAAACATAATTTCCGAATAATCTTCTATACAGTAAAGCAACGCGAATCGAAACTATAAAATTATCATTTACAGATAGTCTGAGTATATTTGAGCTCGCTAGAGTGGCTTCGCCCTGAACTGGACTCGGAGATATTGGACCATAGTCTATTTACACTCGCTATTGCGACGACCATTCGTTGATGGGGTAAGTACTACCAATGTACGATGGCTGTCGAATAGACTCGCTTGACGCTGGTGAATTAACAACCGAACTCCAATGCTGCCGGGGGAACGCATTCGAGTTCACGTAAGACGACGGAGCACCGATGTAAGACGCTGGCGGATGGAGGTTGGAATGGTACGGTGCGAAGTTCAGATTGCCGTAAGAGGTGTAATTATTGATGTGGTAGCTGGAAGCGGGAGGTGCGGCCTTGTGCTTATTGTCATAGTAATCGTAGTACTGCGGCGGATATGTGTGCTGGAAGGGTTTGGGCTGGAAGTACGAGCTATCCGCCGGCGGCGCCGCCTCGCTGTTCGGAGCTCCTGGATGCGGTGGTTGCGGCGCATTGGGTTGAATACTATTGGCATTGTTGTAACCCTCTCCGGCAGCTGGCAGGTGATTTTGATGTTTGTACGCCTGCGGCGGAGGTGGCTGCTGCGGCTGTTGCTGCTGTGGTGGCTGTTGTTGCTGCGGCTGTTGTTGATGCGACTGCTGCTGCTGCTGCGGCTGTGGCTGAGATTGCTGTGGGTAGTTTAAGTCACAAGGCATCTGATGCGGATTTGATGGGGTGGCTAAAGTATTATTTGGTTGCGTTTGGGGCTTAAAGTGTTGCATGTTCTCCGTGGAATTTCTCTCCTTCGTAGACATTTCCGGCCGGGTAGTGCTTGCTGGGGTGCTCTCCTTGTTTTTAACTACATGTGGTTCGTCATCAGCAGTCAGATCTTTCACATCTGGAAAAAATTACTCAATTAAATATCTTTTTCAAAATCGTAAGTCTTACCTTCTTCTGGAGTTTGGGGCTTTGCGGTATCGGTGTCACAATCGGAAGTTATGTCAATTACATCATCCTTATTTGTCTTTTCTGGTTCAGTTTTTGCCGTAGTCCTTATAGCTATGATCTTCCCGCTATCCAACTGCATGTATATTCCTTTTGTCGACTTGAGAACCATAACTCGTTGACCAGCCTTTAGGATTATGTTGGCCTTGTCGGCTGAATTTGTGGGAATGACAACATCTGAAATAGTTGTTATTTAGCAATGGATTGGAGTTTATTGAATATTAGAGGCGACTTACCAAGTGGTAAGGTCATTTCTTGGGCAGTCATCCCCTGCCGCTGCCACACGTCAGCAGGAATCCAACGAGTTGATCGCCCTCCAGTTGACGGAGTGTTCGGTTTTACGTGCTGTGGGTTGTAAAATAAATACTTAAAACGTTTGCTAGATCGTAGAGTACAAACTACTAACCTGGTTCATTGGTTTAGTGATAACAGTTCCATCGTTATTCACGATCTTGTAATGCATTTTCGCAGGTGCATAATTACATCTCTGATTGACGGCAGCTTTCTTTTCCATCTCGTAGCTGCGATGAGCTTGCCTTTTTTCCGCTTGCGAAAGCTTTCTGTCCTTTTGATCGACCAACAAACTTTCGTGCAAGAATGGTTCCTTTGTAACACAATGTCTGTGTAATTCAAGAATAGTATTTATTATTGAGTCGGCATGAATTATAGGTTCCCGGCGATCGTCCTTTTCCTTCTTAATTGGCGAGTGAGTGGCGCCGTTTAGTGATTTGGAGTCAGTTTGATCGTCTAGTGGCTTCTTATCCTCATCGTTTGATTTATTTGACTCATCTGGCGACATATTTAAATCGACTTCCTTCTTAATTTGATCACTGGCTAGCTTACAGCCCTCCTCGGATGGTGTGCTTGGTTTGCTCAAATCGTCTGCCGTTTTATTCGCCTCCTCGGTAGTTTCCTCATCGGAGTCATAGTCGTGACAGAGGTTGGTGATATCCTTCATCGAAAGATGCGCCTCGGGATTGCATTCATCGACGATTCTGTCGGACATTCCTTGCTTTTTGATTTGCCGATCGTATATCTTTTTCTCTAAACACCTATCCATAACAATTCTGTATACAAAGCACGGCTTTACCTGACCATATCTGAAAATTGGGCAGTCAATTTAAGTTAATATCGTAACGATCCAATTAATATTAATAATCTTTTCTCACCTATAAATCCTATATACAGCTTGTGTATCGTGACAGGGGTTCCAACTGGCATCGAATATAATAACGCGGTTCGCTCCGGTGAGGTTAATTCCCAATGAGCCGGCTCTTGTTGATATTAAAAAAAGCTTAACATTACTATTTGCATTGAATTCATTGACTAGCCTTTCCCTTTCCTGCGAGGAAGTAGAACCGTCCAAACCTGAAACGAAACTATTTGGTTAAAAAACAATACAATGCGATTGGTGTGCATACTTACGAAAATACGAGCTATTTTTAGTCCAAAGTTGATTGCTACCAGGGACATAACTAGATTTTAGATAAACTTCGAGTAAGTTTAAGGTTAAAAGACTTTGGCTAAACAACAGAATACGATCTCCTAAATGCAGGCTCTCCTTCAAGATGCAAAAGAAAATCTCCATTTTCGGCGAATTCGATATAAGACCCGACACATAGTTCTTCATTATGTCAACAGCCCACGAACACGAAAATTCATCGTTTCGCTTACTCTTCAGCAACTTTTTAAACGGCTCGGCAGGAACTCCAGTAACGTTTTTAATGCCCGTGGCATTCCATTCACTCGGTTTGCTCGAATTGCACTCATTGTCTACTTGATTGTTTGAACACGGCGTTTGTATTGTCGTTTCGACGGTTTTTATTTCATTTGTGTCCAGATCCACGATTTCCGAGGACCCCGTAATACTTTCAAAGTTGCTTGACATGCTCGTATCCGTTTGTTTAATGACTTCAACACAGCCCGGTTTGGGAAGAATACTGGAATCCATCCAGTAGTTGTTTTTACCCTCACTACCGAATGTTCCGTAGTTAAGAGGCTCCGGTTTTTCGTCGTAGAAAGTAGGGCTGCAAATAAAAATATATACATTGCAGTTTGGAAAGATATGGGTTATTAAATACCCTACCTTTTATTTAAATATTTAGCATTCAAATCCGATGATGTGGGTATATTAAATAAAGTTTGATTTTCGGCTTTGGGCAATGTATCGATACTGCTGACCGGTTCCGCGGGTCCGGTTCCATTGCTTTTTCTCTCGAGAGGCGATGCCACACTCAGGACAGGATCTGGACTGGGCTCGACTGTTGGGGTGGGAACGCCCTTGGGTACCTCCTCGTCGATTTCTAAATCTAAATCAGTCTCACATTTTTTTAGAAAATTATACAGAACATCAGGATGGTTCCAGATTTTGCAGCAAACTGCAAAAGCTTTAAGCGGATTGGGAAACGCCTTCGTGCGCACCACATCGGTCATAAAGGTGTCATAGAGCTTGCGCTGAAAGACGGTCATTTTGGCCAGGATGACATACTCGTACTTCTGCGGCAGCGTGAGTTGCAGCACCGTGTGTGATCGCCGCTGGACGAATCCCAACAGCAGGGAGTGCAGCACGTGCGCTCTGTACCGCATGAGCCTGATGTCATCCGGCGTGGAGTCCACGCACTGGCCATTCTGGATGGGCCGCTCAAACATGTTGCAGAATTCCGTGCGGGTGCCCAGGTAGTTCGGTCGCACGAAGTCCACCATGCACCAGTACTCGAGCAGGTTGTTCTGCAAGGGATAGCCGGTCAGCACGATGCGACGCCGCGTCCTGATCTGCTTCAGGGCCAACGAAATTCCGGCGTGTGAGTTCTTGATGCGGTGCCCCTCGTCGCAGATCACCAAGTCGGGACCTGGCTTCACCAAGGCCTCGTACACCAGGTTCATGAGATCGCTACTGGAGTCCATACCATCGGGTCGAATGACGCTGCCCTTTCGCTTGCGCGTCTTCACCAGCTTGAGTGCCAGCAGACGAAACAGCTCGTAGCCTATCAGAAGCACGCCTCCATCGTGCACCCAATTGAGGATCACCTTCGCCCGGGCCGTTAGCGTCTTCTGCTGGTCGTTCAGCACGTAGATGTCGAAGTTTCGGGCCCGCACATTGCTGTCCGCCGAGTAGCGCGGGATCCACATGTTGAACTCGCTCAGCCAATTCTGCAGTGTGTTGATGGGCATCACACACAACACCGTCTTTGCCGAGGTGTGCCTCAGGAATATATCACAGAAGGAAACAACCTGCAGTGTCTTGCCCAGACCCATGGAGTGGGCCAGAATGCAGCCGAAACCGCTCGATTTGTTGTACCTCCGTGTGGATTCAATGATGTTGTCGTACAGGAAGCGGACGCCGCCGATCTGGTGCGGCTTTATCACCTTGGCTATCTGCGGGGCCAGGTACAGGGTCTCCTCGCCCTCCGGATGCGCCATGTTGACCACCACCTGTCCATTCTCGTCGGGAACGTTGTACAGATCTTTGACGTGCATCCCGCTGTTGGTGGCGTCGTCCGACTCGTTCAGGTCCTCGTCGTCCTCCTCCTCCTCTTCTTCGGAGAGGAGGATGCAGTCATCGTCGGAGCTGTCGTCGATTGTGACCACCTCGCTGGGCTGCTGTACGCTGGCCTCCTTGTGAAGCACTTCGTCGATGCTGCCGCCGCTCAGACTGCTGCTGTTTGACTCGTCGAACGTGTCCGAGGCGATTTCCTCCTCCGGGAAGTCAACGGGCGGGTGGTGCTCGACGGGAGTGGCCACCGAACAGCTTTCGATGCCCTCGCTCTCGTCCAGTTGAAGAATGCGGAAGAACTGTTTGTGCACCACCTGCTTCTGGATCTCGCGCATTGACTTCTGTTGACCAGCAACGCGAGCCAAGCGTTCCGATTCCTCCCGCTGGGCCGCCAGCGTGGTTGTGTCCAGATTGTTCTCGTTCATCACATCGCGGATGTTCTTTCTTAGATGACTGTTTTTCTTTTCCTCGGCGGCCGCCAAACTAATCTTCTTGTTCGCCGCCTGTTCCTCCGCCGACGAATTTTTTCGCTTGTGGCCGTAAGGTACTGTGTTCTTGGCCACCTCGGCCAGGGGATTTATGACCCGATCGGGCTCCATGGGCTGGCTAATCTCAGGGCAGTATTCTGGCATTTTAGGGGGTATTTCCGCGGCTCCATCGATGGGTATCGGTATGGGTACGGGTATGGGAATGGGCGGCTGTAGCTGTGGCTGTGGCTCTGTGGGGGTATTGTGGAAGTACCGCCTGGGATCCTCCGGAAACATCATTGAGGGATGAAACTCGTTAACGTTGGGCCAACCCTCCGGCTTTTGTAGTCTTTGGTTAACTTCGTAATTGTGGTTCGACTCTTCCATATTGGCCTCTGAATTATCCCTGTGGAGTAGAGGAACGGTTTAGTATAGAATGCATACAAATGTGAAGGATGATATTTGATTGGTTCGCTAAACAAATAACGTCATATGAATGCCAAAAACAAAAAACATTTGTTTACAATTGGTTTGTTTTCAACTCGAGTGGAGCTTGAATTCCGGCCCTAAGTTAAAAATCCTATGTATGTTTTGCGTCGGATATGCAGATGGATGATAATGGCTATTACCACACCATGTAACAGATGAGCAATAGAAACCCGACTTATCCCATCGCTAACAGAGGTCACGGAACCAATTAACAAATCTTCGGGGACAGGGGCGTAGTAAAAACTGGATCTGGTTACTTCTTGGTATCCATTATGTGCGGGGAGACAAATATACATATGTACGTAGATGATATATGGGTACTTATAAGAGTTTACAGGGATTGCTATTTACTTGGCATGGATAAATTCTTGGCTGTTGACACTTATCAGAAGCACCCCTACATACTTACATACATACAGGTGTAATTTTCGCCAGCCTATTGACGGAATATACAAAATCGTATATATCCACTGGCAGGCGCTTAGCTATATAGTGACCTATATCATAACTGAACGATCGTGGTCTTACATCAGCAGACTTAAGGGGAGTATTTGTCAATTTGCCTTTTACAATCCACACATGTATGCACATTACATACTCATATACCCAAGTACATACTGAAATCGTAACCGGGCCGGATTTTTGTCTTTAAAATGGGCAATTGATTTGTTTTTTTTCACAGTTCTATTTTCAATACCAAGGGGAAGGATAAATCAAAACAAATTATGGCGAATACTAATTAAATTATATATGCACATTAACTGTGACGGTTTTTTTTCTTTAGTTACAAGCAGGATTTTGTGTACTTGGGTTTGGGGCACAAACAATCTTACGTACATTTACATGCAGCCGGCGAATAAGGTTTTAGGATGAAAGAATTAACAACACAGGCTCTTAATTATTGTTATTTTATACATATGGATGTTTTCCTATATGCACGATTGGAAGGTTCTTTTTATTGGTGTTCGGTTCTGAGATTCTCGGTTTATCACGTCCGCCACTTGTGTTCCGAATGCCAATTTCTTTAAATTGTTTTTATATTAATTTAAAATGTTATTCTCGATTTATTTTCTTGCTGTTTTCAACATGTATATTTGTATATAATGTATACATTACTCTACATAGATATGAACAAAGTTTAGCCCTGGTGAACGGTCAGATTGCATGATGAGTGACCGTTTTTGTGGGGACCTATTGCACGGCTCGTCAGGTAGATTAATCGAAACGAATGGGAAATGTAACAGTATAAATTTATTTGAAAGGTTTTAACGTTTGGTTTTTACGTAGAGCTCCCGATTACAGTATTAATACAAATTTAATACATCAGTTTCTTTGGTATTCTGCAATATATCTTCTTGATTTTCTTTAATCCGATTAAATGATTTAATTGCTAAAAACAATTTTTAAACACATATTATTCGAAGAACTTATTAAGTATTTGGATCTTTAAAAGTATTGATGGCTATATAAAATAAATAATTTACTTAATAAATTAATTTCATGGTGGGTACATCATGCTTTTACACCATATACAAAAATTAGATAACAACACTATTTTTCAACTATAGTACATTGAATTTCTAAAACTTTGTAAAATTATATGGAACATATGGTTTGCAAGTGAGTTCAAAGAAAACGCTACATAAATATATTTTTAATAAATATTTCCTTTGTAACCAGTCATTAAACTGAAGTGGAACAGTATATTTTCAGTATTTCATAAGAAACGGTTAGATTTTCATAAGCATAGGCCACGGTCACACTGCAAGGATATTTTTAACGTATATTATGAAAAATTAAAACGATTACAATTATATCGTAATTAAGGTTGTGTTTTCCTGATAAGTAACTGCTTTGTGATACTCGTGTTGCTCGAACAATGGTAATATAAAAATTGCTTTTTAAGGATATCATACTGACTATTGTCCTCTCTCCCAGTGCCACATATCAAACTGGAGTTCGCTGAAAATTGTGCTAGCCCTCCTCTCGGTCAATATATTTTGGCTTATGAAAGTGTATCCCCCGGCAGGAGGAGAAGCTCCGCAGAGGTGTCCGCCTCCAGAGGGCACTCCTCGTAGTCCTGCGGCGGCAGAGTGTCCCTAGCATGCGGATATTGCCTATGCTATGCTGCAGCCGCTGAATAATCTGGATGGTTTTGTGGCTCCCAATAACTCTGCATCTCTGGCCTTCGAGAACATTGACCTGAGCTACGGACGGTGGGACAATCAGCAGCTGTACATGATCAAGGATTTCGCTTTGCTGGGCGAACAGTACATGGATACCTCGGACGGCAGTTTGGTGTGCCTGGCCACCCAGACTTCGGTGGAGCGCCTTAATTCGCTACCCCAGGTGGCTGCCAATTGGCAGGGCAAGATGTCCGTGGCCGTTTTTGCCGCCGGTCAAGAAGAGTTTCTTGTCCTGCAATACTTCGTCACCTACATGCGCCTGTGCTTTGCCAACATACGCGAGAATGCCACCTTTCACCTGCTCATGCCGAGGGACTTCAACAAGTTGCCCCGTGTGTTGGCTGTGCCGCTGAACATGAAAGGCAAATTTGACTGCCAATACCCGGATAGAACGCTCAAGTCCCTGCTCAAGTTCCGCTCCCTGAGAACGTTGCAGTGGCGACAGAGGAACACCTATCCCCAGAACCATATGCGGAACCTGGCGCGCAAGGGCTGTCAGACGAAGTATGTCTTTCTCACCGACATCGACATTGTGCCCAGCACGAACAGTGTTCCCCAGCTGAACCACTTCTTCAGGACAGCCAATTGCTCCAAGAGCTGTGCCTACGTAATCCCCACATTTGAAATCGACGTAAGAGCGACGTTTCCCCGCTCCAAGAATGCCCTGATACGCTTAATAAGGAAGGGACTAGCCAGGCCTTTTCACGAAAAGGTCTTTATCTACAACCAATATGCGACTAACTTCTCCAAGTACGTTTTTCTCAATAAGTCTTAGAAAATGATTTCTACTAAAACACTTGTATTTCAGATGGCTGTCCACAAACACAAATGAGACGGAGGTATCTGTCAGCCATATTGTAACGAACTTTGAGTTTTTGTATGAACCATTCTACATTGCTGTGGACAACGCACCAGCACACGACGAAAGATTTCTGGGCTACGGGTTCACAAGGAACTCCCAAGTGAGTAGAAATTATACTTGGAATTTGAATCGGGTTTGGTCCACTTACTTACATGTTTCTGCAGGTGTATGAGATGCATATAGCTGGGTATCAGTTCTACGTACTTTCTCCCGTTTTCACCGGCCACTGGGGATTGCAAAGAAAGCAGGCGAGACCGGCTTGGCGAGAGCAGCAGAACAACGCGAATCGCCGGAAGTTTGATGTTTTTAAAAGCGAAATATTTGTGCGATACAAAAATGATCCACGACTGCTGTTGAAATCGAAAAAGAATCAAATCCTAGTGAAATAAATACACCATAGATGAAAAGTATTCAAATAGCGTCTGTCTAGAAGGATGGTTACCTTAAAAGTTTACTCAATTGTCTCTGCTTATAATACGAATTATATACTATAATGGATGGTTTTTAATGATCCACTTTTGTGCTGATGAGAGTATAAAGAACAGTAACCCAGGGATACTAGCTCTTTTGCACCTGTACCAGACTCTCCCGTAAATGTGAAAGAGGCTATTCTGTGATACCCATTCTTCTAAAATTTAGAATCTAAATTAATCACGCCGAATCCATCACAATAAAATGAAAACTTTTAAAGCAGTTTTATGGATTTAAAGTCGGATCTTAGGAACTTTTTGATCTGTTTGAAACCATTCCTCGCATCCCGATTGATATTAAGAAATTAAATAAAACACTGAGAAGTCTTTTAAAATGTTGCCGCCAGAGCGACTGTTTCTCAGACTAGCGCGTACAAGTTGCTTTTAACTTTTTAATGCATTAATTTTTGGCATGGTAATAAATCCTTTTGTAAAATCTTTTAACATGGCGACACATCGGGATAGTTACGCCACTATAAAACCTTTATATAATATTATTGTGAACACACCGAAATCTATTCACTTACTCTATGGGAATTATTAGGCATTTTCGTGAGTTAGCATTTTATACTTTTCAGGCAGTTTTTTGAATTTACAATCATATCTTAGGAGTCACAATTTTGCGTGCCCACGAAATGACAACCGCCTGGAATGGGATATAAATAAACCAGCTGCTCAATCTCTCACTAGAACAGTTTAGAAGTTAAACCATTTAAGCCCAAAATGATACGAAATCTGTTAGTTTTAGTGTTGGTTTGCTTCGCTGTCATGATAGTAAGTAGAAAGGAATTTTTTTAAACAATTCTATTACTTTTTCTATCATATTAGGACGCTAAATTCGATATTGTCTATAATATGCTACTTACAAACCATCCTGGAAATTTGATAACTACCAGTCTACGCACATATGGGCGCAATCCAAGTCCAATTTCTGGTAACATTACAATTCTAAAGGATCTTACCGATAAACATCGGATGTCAGTGGATATTTTAAGGCTTGATAACAACGAAGTGGTGGACTTTCCGGGAGTGAAAAACCGGAGAATTTGCGAAGCTATCGCGGCATTCTTTGATCCTTACTTTAAAACCACGTTTACGAGCAAAAACACCAACTTGAACCTTAAAAAAGAAAAGCTGTGCCCCTTGCAAAAAGGCAATTACTGGGTCAAGGACATCGTGTTTGACATAAATGAGTGGAAGACGTTCTGGTGGCGCGTTGGATCCTACATCGTTAAATTTACGATATTCAATGAAGACGGAACATTTGGCGGTAGAATTAAATTACAAGTTAAAGTTGATCCGATATAGTCATAAATAATTATAATATGTATATGTAAATATTAAAACATGGCTTTCAAATCTATTTACGCTGCGTTACAAAATAAGACCTTAATTATTTACCTCGATGTATGCTAGAACATCTTATTCGCTTTCACTGCCCATTTTTTAAATGTGTTCACAGAAAAATTGACCTACGTAAGGATTCTTATAAAAAGGAACTCACAGTTGAAAAAAGCTGTTTATGACTTTTTCCCAAATCGATATATGCCTACTTGGGCTTATTTAAAAAAAAAACGAGAGCGACACAGAAAACTGCGCGAGTTTTTCAAATTTAAAGTTATAATATACTTAGTTTTAAAAAAAAAACGTGAACGGCATCCAAATTTAAAATTGGTTTTTATACTGTTTATTCGAGAAAAAAAGTGTAATCAAATTTTATCGATTTAAATCGTTATTCACAACGACTTTTTATTAAGTAATAAAACCAGACTTCAACGATTTAAAGGCGTGAGAATGGTCGTGGCTAAAAGGAATTTCTAGAATTTGCACGTCAAATCCCAATTTTAAACATTTTGAAGTTACTTTGTTAAAGGTTATATTTATTGAAGACCACCGAAATCTATTCACTTACACTTTCTGTTATTTTATGCATATCCATGAGTTTAAAAGTAGCTTAAGAGAATTCTTATAAACTAGAAAAATAGTTATTATGCAAGCCCACGAGCTTGCAATCAGCTAGAAAGGTATATAAAAAGACTGCTCATTCTCTCTGTAGAACAGTTCAGAAGTTAAACCAATTGCACCCAAAATGAGACGAATTCTACTAAGTTTAACGTTTGTTTGCCTCGCGGTTAAGTTATCTGCAGCATTTTCATTACCTTTCTATAGCCGTATTTCATTAAACAAGGGCACTAATTTGGATGTTGTTGATGTGTCTGTTACAAACTATCCTGGAAATTTGATTTCCACCAACCTACGCACATCAGATCGTGCCGCAAAATTAATTTCAGGTAATGTTACATATCTGATGGATCTGTCCAACGAACAACGCGTGTCGGTGGATGTCAAGAAGACTAGCGGACTAGTGATGGACTTTCCGGGATTCATAAATATGAACATCTGCGACGCTATCAAGAAATACTTTGATCCTTATGTCAAAACTACGTTTAAGACGGGCGAGAACACCAACTTGGATTTTAAGAACGGAAAGGTGTGCCCCTTCCCAAAAGGGTCTTACTGGATGAAGAACATTGTACTGGACGTTAATAAGTGGAATTCACCTTGGTGGCTGATTCCTAGTTCCTACAGTGTTAATGTTGTGGTCTTCAACAAGGACGGATCACATGGCGGTAATGTTGCCTTCCGAGCAAAGCTTATAAGGAAATAGATATTCCGTGTGTACCTGAAAAATAACATATTAAATTTAAATATTTATAGATTGATTAAAATAATGTTGGTTATGTTAGAATACTATAAATATTAAATGTACAAAACTTTCTCAGTTGTTTACAATTATTAATATTACAATAATTTTGTCACATTAGACGTTCGCGTACATAATGAAACAACGCGGGATACTAGAAATTTATTATATTTCCTGGACGGAAGAAACAGCTTGAAATAATCAAAAATAGTTTAAGCTGCTTTTCTCCTAAGAGTGGCAAAAAATGGAGGAGGACATGGTTAAATCAACACTTCCAGTGATGCTGGTCAAGAATGTATACAAACGTTATTTTCTCCGTGCTACAAACTTCCCACCAAAATTATAATTCCCTTTCAAAAAATAAAGGAATTGTCAAAATTATCGGTTAAGTTAAGCATTCACATGAGTTTAAATATAGCTTTTAGGGTTTGTAATCGATTCTTGTGAACTATAAAAGCTTATAGTAGTGTACAAGCATTCGAATTTAGAATCTGTTTATTTTATTAACAGTCAGATTTATTCCGTCTGAAGAACAGTTGAGAATTTAAGTGCAAAGTTAGGCGAAATATGTTAAGTTTATTGAGTTTGAGTTTTTGAGTGAGTTTTTCAATCCACACATCAGTACCTTTTTGTAAAAGGTAATTACTGGGTCAAAGACATCGGGTTTGACCTCAATAATAGCATCGTTAATTTAACGACCTTCAATAAAAACGGAACACATGACGGTAGGATTTAGTTAGTCTTAAACAGATATAGTCCTTTTCACAAATGATTATAACATGCAAATATAAATATTTAAACATGGCTTTCAATGTTAGATATCTAAGTGTAAGAATATTACAAATATTAAATGTGAAAAACTAGCGCAGTTTTCTGTATCGTCAATTTGATCAATTCGATAGGGGTCGTAGCTTAAACGAATTGTATAAATTAGAAAAATTTGTATTATGCTAGCCCACGAGCATGCAGTCAGCTAGAAAGGTATATAAAGAGACTGCTCATTCTCTCTATAGAACAATTTACAAGTTAAACCATTTACACCTAACATGAGACGAAATCTACTAAGTATAACGTTTTTTTGCCTCGTGGTTTTTATAGTAAGTTATCTACAGCCTTTTCATTACCTTACTATAACCTTATTTTATTGAACAAGGACGCCAAATTAGATGTTGTTGATTTGTCTATAAATAACCAACCTGGAGATTTGATTTCCACCAATGTACGCACATCTGGTCGAGCCCCAATATTAATTTCAGGTAACGTTACATATCTGAAGGATCTATCCAATGAACAACGCGTGTCGGTGGATGTCAAGAAGACTAATGGACTTTTAAGCGTGCTGGACTTTCCGGGACTCATAACTATGAACATCTGCGACGCTATCAAGAAGTTCTATGATCCTTATATCAAAACTACGTTTAAGACGGGCGAGAACACCAACTTGGATTTTAAGAATGGAAAGCTGTGCCCCATCCCAAAAGGTACTTACTGGATGAAGGACATCGTGCTGGACCTTAACAAATGGAAGTTACCTTGGTGGGTACTTCCTGGTTCCTACAACATTAATGTTTCGGTCTTAAGTAAGGATGGATCACCTGGCGGTAATATTGCCTTCCAAGCTAAACTTAAAAGGAAATAGATTTTCCGTGTGTACCCAGGAAAATAACAATTTGCATTTAAATATTTATAGATTGATTTAAAAAATGTTGGTTATGTATGTTGGTACTAAAAATATAAAATGTACTGAGCTTTTCCAGTTGTTTGTCCATATTGAAAAAACGAGATACTAGAAATGTAGTAAAACATAAATGAAATAGCTGTCTGCCAAAAATGGTAAACAAAAGGCAGATTAGCATAGTTAAATCAACTCTTCCTGATCAAGAATATAAATAATAAAATATATACTTTACACTGTATTGGTTTGCTACAAACTTCTGACTGAAAAGGTAAAGGTTTTGGCAAAATTGTCGGCTGTGTTATGCATTCCCATGTGTTTAAATACACCTGTAAGGCTTCGTAATCATATCTTGTAAACTAAAAAATCTTATTTTATGTGTACGAGCACACGAGTCTGTTTATTATATAAATAGTCAGGTTTATTCCCTCTAAAGAACAGTTGAGAAGTTAAGTGCAAAGTTAGGCGAAATATGCTAAGTTTATGGATAGTGCTCGTCTGCTCCGCTGTTTGGATGGTAGGTGACTTAAAACCTTTTGTTTTAACCATTTTCCTAACAGTCTGAAACTAAATTAAAACGCTGCACACTTCGATATTGAGCATAAGTGGCTTGAAGCCTATCCTGGAGGTTTGATTTTAGCCAAGATGGTTGGTCAGGACTAATTTCAGGAAATATTACTCTTCTGGGGGATCTCAGTGATTCACATAAGGTGACGGTGCAATTTTTCAAGATTGAAAAAAAAACGCACTCGGAATTTTTAGAAATTATCAAGAGGTCCTTCTGCACCGCTCTAAGGGAGTTTTTCAATCCATATATCAGTACCACGCTTAATACGGGCGTAAACACCAACCTAGACTTTGAGAATGAAACCGTATATCCCTTGCCCCAGGGAACTTACTGGGTAAAAGGTATTATTTTCAATGTTAATAAGTGGAATCTAGATTGGATAACTGCTGGTGATAACTACTTATGGATCGCACTCTACACCAGTTGCGACAGCAAAAGCGGCAAAGTTGAATTCAAACGTAAACTTAGTGACAAATAAAGATAAATTTTAGTTATTTCACATTTTAAACCTTAATATAAAAAAGATACAGTTAAAGTACAAATTTAAATTAGAATATATCGGATTTAATTAGATATAAAACCATAACAAAGGCATTTTCTTGGCAGGTTCACGATTATAACAAGAATCCTTACTCTCATTTCAATTGTTATATGCCTCGTAAGTATTACGGGGAATACATTGTTGATAGTGCAAAGAACATGACATCATTGTGGACATTCCCTAACGTAACTATACCCTTCATATGTAAGCTATGGTTACTCATGTACTATGTACTTTAAAACTAAAATCTTCTAAAAATGTAGTAACACTATGGCATGCATTAACCTCAAAAACATGGTTAGAAATTAGGTTCTTTCCATTTAAGTCTCGTTTAAATACTCCCCTATTCGGTATTTTTGCGGTATTTTTTTTGGGCTGGGTGTTTCTGGAAGGGGGTGTAAACCCGCGGGGGTTACCATCCGTGGGCTTTCACGCGAATTTGGGGCCAAAGCAGAGGGTGCGAGGATGGTCTGTGCGAAGCAAAACAATGGATTCCAAATGCCGGAAGGTTTTGGGCGCAGGCGCAGGACTTTCGCAAGCTGCGTGCTCCGTGCTCCAAAAAAGCTCTCATCGCCTTTAGCAGGACAATAAAAGCTTGGTCCTTCGGCCAGCTTTCCGCAGTCTGTGGCAATCAGAAGGCCCAGTGGATTATTGTGTGTCTCAAACAAAACCCAAACCGTATTTATCCCAAAACGCAATGAGGCAAGGTGATTCTCGTCTGAGTTGCAACGAAATCGGGAATAACCAGAAGTCCTCGTTCAGGGCGCCAACTAATCCTCATCCGATCCGGCTGTAAATACCCGTCGTCAGGTGAGACTCCCTTATCCTTTGCTTTTCGGCGCTCCAAGGCTGCAAAGTCGCCTGGTCGCCTGTGTTTTCGATTTTTCGTAACGGGCTGGACACAAAGGAAAAATGCGAATAATGGGGGAAAAACAAGCAACGACTGACCCACCCAATGCGAGTTGAAGCCCCAAGCTGTTTGCTCAATTAGGTATCAGCTTTCCCGAGCCATGCCACATCTGTCCTTATGGCGATGATGCCATGTTCCCGGCCAGGCATTCCATCATCGCCTCGCCACCACCTCGATATCGATATCCTGGGGCGAAGGACACGACACCCCCTTATCAATTCATCTCATCCCCCCAAGCCCGTATTTGTTTACCTGGGCGCCCTTCGATGTCCACTAATTGCGGTCCGAGTGTCGGCGGGATCGGGCAGTCGAGCAGGAGTCGGACCAGGAGCAGCCAATTAATATCCAATTTGTGTAATTGTGCCGCACCCAATGCCCCCAAAAATCCACAAAGTACTTCAACGAGCACTTGAGCGTAAAAAACGCAGCTTAAATATTCATTTCGCGGTGGCAAACGCTTCTCGATAATGGCAAAGAGCTCGCTTTCCGACTGATTTTATGGCCAGCAATTTGACTTTGCGGCAGAGAGAAAAACTTGACATCGTAATGGGATAGAAAACGAATTACAATAAAGGTTTTAAGAGGAATTTCAAATACAAGGTACCATAGAAATAGCCAAGGGTTTGAAATCATTCATGGAAGTGTCTAAAAGTATGCAACAAAATTCATTTAAAAATACGACATTATATTATATCTGTTACTCGTAGAGTAAAAGTTTCGTCAGAAAGTATGTAACAGGTAGAAAAAAGCGTTTCCTACCATAATGAGAATATAAATTCTTGATCGCAAACACAAACCGAGTCGTTCTAGCCGTGACCAAACAACTTTGTTTCATCGAAGGGCCACGCGTACTAAAACGCCCACAAACGATAAATCTGTCTGTCTGTTTTTTTAAAATACAATGGTAGTTTTTTCTTATAATCAATGCCCATCTATGTGCCAATAATTGTTGAGATCGGACCATAAATTAAAAAGTTATGGGCAAATAATGGAATATACGCTAAGTGGCATGTTAGCGTGGTGTGCAATCTCAGAAACAGCCGATTTGCTGCATGCATATCTCCATCTCCCTCACACTCCCGGGTATCTAAGCATTTTTTCTTGCTTTTTACTGCATACTTTTAGTCACCTTTGAAAGTAATAACAAAAACCAAAAGTTTTTATGCAAACTTGTATTTTGCCCTCAACACCTTAGACCATAACTTCACCATAATAGGTTTTCTAAAGGTGACATGCTACACCTACGCTTTTTTGAGGTTCAGTGTATTCCTTCAGTGTATATTTTATGCTGATGGCCACGAAGTGGGTAGCGTTTTAATCAGAGTGAGCTGCGCGTAGGAGGGGGGTGCAGCGAAAAAGGACATTTAAATATCGTAACCATTATCCAGAAAGTGGCGGGAGGCTAAGCCCGGGATAAGAAGTGACCTTGCTGGCGTCAATTGCAATGCAAACAGGCTGCACTTGTTCGCCTTTGCGACTGACAGGACCTCTGCTTGTGACTCTTGTTCTGATTCTGATTCTGATTCCAGTTCTGATTCTGGCAGGCGGATGCAACAATGGTAGTGTTTCGTTTTAGCAACTGGGTCAATCCACTATTTATATACGGCATTGGCCGAATATGGCCCAGGTATCGAATCCAACTGGGATGAGCTGCAACCTCAACCCGACGGCCGAGTCAAGTCAAGTCAAGTCAAGTTTTTAATGCCCCTGTTTACGACAGGAGCAGGGAAAAACAATTTACTGCAGGATGACACAACCACGTAGCCAACTGTCCGGACCGTAAAACTAGGGGGCGATTCCCGCACCTCGCTGCCTGTCCGCTGTGAAATTAATGAGAATGCCAAATGCGCTCTGCCATTGCTCAAAGTCAAAAGTTTCGATTAAAGATTAAGCTGGCTTCCATATTAAAGCACTCCTGCGCCTCCCCCACACCACCAATGTCCCGCGACTCATGAACAATTCATAATCCATTTCTCGGAAATGCATATGCATCCGAGGAGGCGGTGGCCCCCACCCAAAGCCAACTGTTGCTGCCATGACCGCCTATCGAAGGACACCTACCTCAATTGGTATTTAAAGTCGTACAATTATATTACAAACCCCATTAAAAAGATAGTTTCAAAAAAAGAGTTCAAATTATGTTTCAATAAAGAGGGCTAAAGAAAAACCTTTGATTTCAAAATCAATTTAAGAGGTTTGAAAAAGTATGCAACAATATATTTATAAGTAGAAAGAACGACGCGTCGTGATATATCACTACGAAATTCGAAGTTTTTGTTAACTGCATGCTTTAAGACACCTCAATAACGGATTTCACCCTCCGTTTAATTTAAAATGTTGTGTACCTTTTAAAGGAATTCTTTTTTTTTAGTTCAACGGAGATCTCTTAGGTCCCAAATAATTTTGAAATCAAGGGTTACATATTTTTTTGCTGTAGTTACAAATGTATAATAGAAGAAAATACATTTAAATATGGTTGAAAAATATTTTTTAGACTTTTAATAGAGTTGATAGTCACTTGCATATGTTCTTAACTCAAAGTTAAAATTTTCACAAGTTGTACTTAATTGTCTATGTGGAGTTCATGTTCAGTCACAGTCGAAAGACCAGAATCTTTTTGCCCGACCCACAAATCAAACAATTCCGAAGCAAGAATAATTCGCACACAAAATGCTTGGCATATGGATGGTTTTGTGGAACGGGGAATGGCGGTCTGATTCAGAAGCTGGCGGGAGGTTCCATGCTATTGTTCAACCTTCGGGGTGATGAGTCCACGGGATGGGGATTGGGGATTTGGGGATTTGCGTGCATCCAATCAGCAGTTCCGTATGATTCTGCTTGCCGAGTCAACACCGCCAATTGGCAGTTTATTGTCGGCAAATATGCCAAGTTAAATGTTTGCTGAATTATGTGTGGCCATCATTTCACCTGTTCGGTGATGGATTATCAATCAAAAGTTGATGGATATCGGTATGCAAATAGACGAAACACCGCTGGCTTAATTGGGATGCATGCACACACACATGGGGCAGATGCACAGGCACATGCACATCCTTCAAGGACGTTTCCATCCAAGACTTAATGAGCTTCCTCGGCGCAATAAGCATA